CTTGATCACTTCTCTAAGTATAATTCACACTTTAAAGCTCATCTGAGGCCTAACTTTTTTTCCTGAATAATCTTCTGAGTACTTGTGACCTCAACGAGTATAGTCTCCTATGAAACTCCACATTATTATTTATTTTCTATTATATGTAATTTCTATGTTACATCTGGCATTGATCATGCAGCTATTGTTGACAGCTGTTGCTTCATAGTTTTGCTTTCCTAGTTAGAATGCAAGCCATCAAGGACAGAGACATGGGATCTCACCCCTGCCAGCATCCCTGAGATCTTACCCCTCCAGTGTCCCCTAAGATTAGCTAACTTCTCTACACAAAGGAGACAGACAAAAATGAGAACAAACCCAGCCCCCCTCATTGTTCTTCAAACACCATCCATGGCCATATAAGAAAGACGACTGGGGAGATGTGTACTCCTTCCTTCATTCAATGCATAATTACTGATAACCAGAAGCTTTTGTGTAGTTACCTCAGAGTCCTTGGAATAAAGATTCTGGCCTCTATTTAGCTGAGAGTATCTGTATTGATTTTACCTACCTAAATATATGCCAACTTCTAGAGAAATGGTAGTCTTCTTAAGTTAAACTTGGTTCCTAAGCTAGGGAGAAAATAATACTCATGTCCAAATGGAGAAATTTGATAAACCAGTAAAAACACTTTTGAAGAAATACCACTCTCATTTATGCTGTTACTTAAAGTCTGTAATGATTCACTGATCCAGCCATCTATCCATCCAACCAACATTGACTAAATGCTCCCATGTGCCAGGAGGTGTTTTAGGTGCTGGGATAAGACGGGTCAGATCCCTATCTCCTAAGGTTTACATTCTAGTGTGAAGAAACAAACACTAAACAAGTAAAAATTAAAATATCAGATGGGGAGAAACGCCATGCAGAGAATTAAAACGAAGTCCTATCTCCTTCAGGTTGTCTGGTAAGAGAAGGCACAATCTAGCTGAAGTCCAGCTGTCCAGAAGGACCCAGCTGTGCACCCAACATCACCAAGAAAAGGGGAAAAGCATTCAGAACAGACAAACTGCCAGTGTGCAGGCCACGAGGACGGCAGTGTTGTAGCTGAAAGGGAACGATGTGAGATGAGGCTGCTGAGACAGGCAGCAGGCCCATCATGGAGGACATAGTTCAACAGGTTAATTAAAAACTTGGACTTTAAATGTAAGTGGAAGCTGTTGAAGGGTCTTAAGTGGAAGACTGACATGATCCCTTAAGTTTAAAAATATCACTCTGTTCTACTGCTGTATATAATATGTACCCAAGAGAAATAAAAGCATATGGTCCCTACAATATTTATACAAAAATATTCATAGAAGCTTTATACATAATAAACAAAATCTGAAAACAGTCTAGGTGTCCACCAACAAGAAACAAACTGGTATGTTTGTGCAATTAAATATTACTCAATAAAAAGAAACAAATTACTGATTCATGCAATTACATAGATAAATCTAATATTATGCTGAGTAAAAGATGTCTTGCACAAAAGAGTATCTATTTAAATGGTAGTTAAGTCGTCCTACAATTTCCTATACATGGGCAAAAACAATCTATAGTGAAAAACAATCATCCATATTAAAAAAAAAACTGGAAGGTCAGGGTAGAGGAGATATAAGAACTGACTGGCAAGAGGCATGAAGGAACTTCTTGTAGTGGTAACGTTGTGTAATTTGATAGGAGTTCAGGTTATACAAGTGTATGTATTTGTGAAACCCTTGAATCATATACTTAAGATTTAAACATTTCAAAATATATAAATTCTACCTTAAGAGCTGTAAAAATAAATCTAAAGAAAAAACTTCTAGATGGTGGAGTAAGGACTCCTAAAAATCTGCCCCTCTTCAAAAGCAAGAATATTGGGGGGAAAAATTCTAACAACCAACTTTTTCACAACTCTGGAAACTGGCCAAAGGTTTGCAGTAACTCAAAGAATTTCTAAAAACACAGCTGAACCTTAGTAAAGACAGAAAGCGTGTGATATTTTTAATCTGTCCTATTCTCATCCATCTATCCTCAGTGCTGCTGTAGCCTTGAAAACTAATAGCCTTGGAACTACACGGCTCTAAAAAGCAATCTAGAAGCCAAAAGAGGCAGGACAGGCTTGAAACCCCATACATAGATGATTATCTCTATTTGATTTGTCTAGAACCTCTCTTAGAAACTTCATTCTCAAAGCTTGTCTTTTTTTGAACAAGGGCTTACTTGGTATGAATAGTCCTATCCCTAGGATGTTTGCTGAAAACAATCAGCACCAATTGTTTTACAATTATTGTAATAATTTGGTCTAACAAGAGATTGACTAAAACTTTAAAAGGAAGAAAAAGTAGAAAGTAAGATGTATACAGGGAGCTTTGAAAAGGAGTCTAGAGGGTGGTGCCTGTGGCTCAAGGAGTAGGGTGCTGGCCCCATATACTGGAGGTGGTGGGGTTCAAATCCAGACCCGGCCAAAAGCTGCAAAAAAAAGAAAAGGAGTCTAGAAGGCCACACATGTTCAGGGAGTAGTAAGTATGTGCACACCTAGAAAAGACCTGAGAAAGCTCTTATCTCTTCCTTCAAGCTGACCTTGAGGTTCTGTGCAAACAGGTAGTGGAGGCTAAAACAGAATTGTAAGCTGCCGGCCAGAGTATCGAAGTATACACACTGTCTGTAAAGTCTAGAAGACTTGTTATTCAGGCATTTAAGAAGATCTTAATCTAATCATCAGCTGGACACTAAGCTAAGTGTACCGAGACTTTAGTGACTACATGCAATAAAGAATAAAGACATTACAGGATTAGCTCAAGAAATTCATTTAGAAGAACAAACCAGCAGCAATAGCAGCCAACTATGAGGAGGAGAGGAATCTGATTTCCAGAGTTGCAACATCATATTGTTTTCAATATCCAGTTTCCACCAACGAAAACAATGACAAGAAACGCAAAGAGAAAGTATGGAACATACACATTTAGAAAGCAATCACCAGAAACTGCTGTGAGGAGACCCGGACTTTTTTTTTCACTGGATTTACTAGACAAAGACTTTAAATTGGTTATGATAAATATGTTCAAAGAACTAAAGAATAATTTTAAAAAAGAACTAAAGAATACCAAGAATTAAAGTATGAAAACAACATAGGCCTATCCATACATTACAGCCTCGCTGACTATGAACAAACCTCCTATAGTTCCCTAGGTTCCAGATAGCACTTGCCTCAGATCTCCCACTGCAGAGTGTTGCCTGCATTTGGACCCAGTATTTCATCTCAGATTCCTTTAGATTCCTTGTTGCCAATTACTTACAAAGAACAATCAAGGACCACTATATCCCTTAGCTACTGCTGAATTTCCACGGTTAGGCCCAACACATGTTCTACTGGGAGGGTCTCATATGCTGTCTACTGCCACCTACTGTAAATTAATAGCCAAGTACTACTAAATGTTAAGAAATCAAGTATTGGTCCTATTTGTCATCCAGTTGAAATTGTGCTAATTTCAGTTATCTTTGTTACCAGCTCAATGGCTGACACTTTTTCTTTTGCTTTGCATTGAAAAGTCTTTCAGAATTGAACTCCATGCTAAATCAACCTCTGCTGTCTCAGGCTCCTGTCTCAAACTGTTCTCCCAAGGTCTGTCTCTATTCATGCTATCCTTTTAAATTTATTTCTTCAAAAATTGTTCTTTAGCTTTTGCAATAACCTTCTGATGGGCATGGATCCTTTCTTCACACCATTCTATCAGAAGAGGCCAGCTTATGATACTTACATTCAGGTACTGCTATAAGATATGAAACTTTTTAAACAGAAGTCAGATACCTAAATGAGTAGCTATGTTGGAGGCTATTCACTTATTTTAATGATCTGAGATTTTATTGAATTCTTTAAAACATGCCAGTTCCATATCCTTGACCTCATTTAAAAAGACCAATCCTATCACAGTAATTGATCAAAGGGCATTGTCTAAATTAAATCACTTGTCCTTATCATCAGATACAACCTGCTGTTATCAAAAATTAGATTTATCTAGAAAGGACAAAAAATTATATTATTGACATAATTTTTACTAATGTAAAAATAGCCTCTGAAAGTAGTTATAAAAGTTTAAAATAAATACTGAGAAAAAGCATCACAGTAACAAGTGAATTACCATTTATTATTGTACAGTGACCTAATACTGTGCAATAATCCAAGCTCTGAGATTCTTCTTCCATCTATAAAACAAAAATAACTTTCTTACCTTCTTCATAGAGTTACTGTGGGAATCAAATGGGAAAGTGTGACATGTCTGAAACTCACAAAGGGAATAATGTAAAATATTCCTATACATGCCTTACTGTTGCAAATTAAAATATGCATACTCGGCAGTGCCTGTAGCTCAGTGGGTAGGTCACCAGCCACATACACCAAGGCTGGTGGGTTTGAACCTGGCCCAGGCCTGCTAAACAGCAATGACATCTGCAAAAACAACAACAACAACATAGCCGGGTGTTGTAGTGGGTCCCTGTAGTTTCAGCTACTTGGGAGGCTGAGGCAAGAGAATCACTTAAGCCCAAGAGTTTGAGGCTGCTGTGAGCTGTGATGCCACGGCACTCTGCCCAGAGTGATAGCTTGAGACTCTGCCTCAAAAAATAAATAAATAAATAAATAAACAGCATGTATACTCATTTAAAAACTGCATTTGGACCCTGAATTAAGGGTTAAGTTGGCATTTTTATTTTGCAGGGGATGAAAAATAACAGAAGAATTAAAATTCCATTTGAAGTTTTTTTTTGTCTGTGTGCAATAAAATTCCGCTTTTCAGGAAACAGTTCATAGTTTGGAAAGTGAAACCTAACTCACTCTTACTGATGAGTGGGACAGAGGGAAATTCCGCAGCTCTGAGACCACAATAAATACAAATAATACCTTCGATTTCTCAACTTGGGGCTTCCCCAAGGAATGGGCAGCAGGTTTGCTGTGTCAACTGTAATGTTAGCCAATCAGAGCTAGGGAGGGAAAGTGCCTTTGCAGATAAATACCGCACGCTAGCCTCACGTTTTCTGAGACACTCCTCAACTGCTTTGGCATATTCTGAGCCTACAGCAGAGGGACCTCCAATCTCAGCACCATGAAGCAAAGTGCCATTCTTATTTTCTGCCTTATCGTTCTGACTCTGAGTGGCATTCAAGGTAAGGAACATTAAGAGGTATTTAATTTACAAAATCAGAAATAGGACTGGGCATGCATTTTTTATAATGTGCAATATTTGCAAAAATCTCACTGCATGCCTATAAACAAGAGAGAAATAAGCAGAGCTTACACTCACTCTGCTTGGAGTGTATATTGATTGAACCCAGAGAAACAATTAGAATAAAAGGAAGAGAAAGGAAAGAAGGGAGGAAGGACAGAAGAGATGGGGAAGACAAAGGACAGAGAGAGAAGAGGTGAGAGAATGAGGAGAAAGAGGACCAGACACAGACGCTTCCTTACCTAAGCCTAATCAACGAGTTAGAATTCTCTTCTTCAAGATAATCAACTACTTAATCATTCAGAGATGTGTTGTAATGGATTCCATTCCTCCTCAGGTTAAGTGATTATGCAGGGATACGGGAATACCCACGGAACTCTCTGCTAACCTCCCCCGCTGTGCCTGTCTCTTTTATTGCAGGAATGCCTCATGCTAGAACTGTGCGCTGCGTCTGCATCACGATTAGGAATCAACCTGTTAATCCAAGGTCTTTGGAAAAACTTGAAATTATTCCTGCAAGTCAATTTTGTCCACATGTTGAGATCATGTGAGTAAAATCTATCTGGTGATCACCTTCCTTGTATTAAATACATGATGATGACAAAAGATCAGGAAAGGGTTTGAGATGGTTCTAAAACTAATGTATCGCAAAGAAAAACACGTAGAGTGAAACTTAAACGCCTTATTCCAGAACTACTTGCTCTGTGTTTTATTGGCCCAACATTGCTTTAAATATTTTTATCCCATTTACTTCTACAGCGCCACAGTGAAAAAGACAAAAGAGAGGAGATGTCTGAATCCAGAATCTAAGGCCGTCAAGAATTTACTGAAAGCATTTAGCAAGGAAAGGTGAGTTTACTGCTGCCTGCTAAAGAACCGCTCTTTAGGAAAAGGCAATCTTGGGAAATTAGAAATCTTTTCCGTGAGTTTTGCTGCGGGACCACAGGCTTTAAAGTACATTACCTTCACGCCCTCCCCTACCTCTATGTCTTTATCTATTGAAGCATCACCTTGTGTGGGTGGTATCTAAAGTTACCCTGATAACCGGTGCAGGAGAGTCTGAGGCCACTTCAACCGGGAGGCAGAGCTAGACTGTCCAAGCCAAGCTGCCAGATTCCCTCCCCCCAAGCCGTTCCTGGCCTGAGAAAGCAGCAGCCCCTGTAATCCATGACAACTGTGCAGCAGCAGGAAAGCTCAGCACTGCCTCCACCTGAGGCTCTCTGGGTTATCTTTAAGCTCAGTATGTTCAAGCAGAACCCAGACTGAAGCCAGAGTCTGAGGATCACACTTCCATACCCTCTTTCTCTTCTTGCAGGTCTAAAAGATCTCCTTAAAACCAGAGAGAAGCAAAATCACTGCCGTGCTGATAAGGATGGGCCAACGGAGAGGCTGCTGCTCCCATCACTTCCCTACCTAGAGTACACATCAAGCCCTGATGTTCCTAAAAGGTGACCAGCAGTTACCAAAAAAGCTGCTGTTACTCCTGCAGGAAGGTAGCCGATTCGTCCTCCTGAGCTGCTCAGTAATAACTCAGCCCTGGAACTGCACTGTAAGCTAAGCCGAGGTGCTGCACAGCAAACGTGCCAAGTCCCACTCCCGCCTCTGACACTTTCCTGACCTTTCCTATCTCCCAAAGTTATTTCTGCTTCTAGGTTTATCAGCGTTCTTAGAACCTCAAACAACTAAAACATATGCGATCAAAGTGATAATACAACCTGCTTTTTAAGAACAAAACATGCTTTTTTACTCCATGTATTTCTAATATCATTCTCCCAAAGGGCCCCTACAGTTTCCGTGGTTACATATCTATAATTCCAAATACTTACAGGAAGCTAGGAATGTCTGCAAACGTGTGTGTGAATGTTATTTAATGGAAGACTGTACAAAGTAGAATTCTTAGACGTTTATGTTTCTTATATTTTTTCTGTGTATGGGATAGCTTGTAATTTAAGTACTATATATCTATGTGTAATGGGAAAATTTTCATCTAGATATATGCTCTGTTATATAAGACAAATGTGCTGGATGGTTTTCAAAATAAAAATGATGTGCTTCCCCAGAAATATTAAGAAAAATTAACAACTGAGAAACCAAAAAGATAATAAAGTAATTACAACTAAGATCAAGTATTTTGTGGATCATTTGACTGGAACATTTATTTCATAAACTGGTTAGACTGGGGATCCATGCCCTGAGAAGCTGGGATGGAAGGAGGACAGATGGACCGCAGAACTACTCTGCTCCTTCCCCCTGAGGTCTCCCAAGAGGCCCGTCAAGTAAGATTCCTACAAGACTAAGGTGGCATAACAGATAGAGCCTGGCCTGAGCTTTCAATTCCTACAGCTAAATTTCTATGAGACACATTTGCACCTGAGTATCTGACAGGGAGTTGAAGCTCCAAAATATCCCAAATTAATTCTCCTCTCCAAATCTGTTTCTCCTGCTCTAATCTACATCTTGGTTTATTTGCACCGTCACCCACTCAGTTCCCCAAACCAGAAACCTGGGAGTAAGGCCGTATCACTACTTCTGCCTTCCAGCTAGTTGCTAAGAAGATATCTGCAATTCGTTGAGTTGACAGATTACGACTGCCTGGAATAAAGAATTCCCACGAGTAAAAAAGGGAAAAGACAGGAAAACAGTTGAAAATGAGAAACGAAAGTAAGACTTTTACAAGAGAAAAAGGCAAAAGCCCTAACATGAAAAGATGTGCAACCTCCCTTGTAATAAAGGAAATGTAACTTTCAAATCGTTATGGGATACCATTTCATACCACCAGGCTGGCAAAAGAGTTGGATAATACCAACTATAAACAACGTAGGGTCCTGTACAAATGCACGGTAATGGAGGAGCGCCCCTCCACTGCTGATGAAAGGAAAAAGAGCTTTAACTACTTTGTTAAGGGAGTTTGGCATTATCTCATGAAGCTGCACATGGCATACCCACGTCCCAGCAATTCTATTACTTTGTGTAACACGTACAGCACAGATTAAAACATAGGACATGTGCAGGACTATGAGAGCAGCACTGTTTACAACAGCACAGATTTGGAAATAATCCAAATGTCCACGAATGGATAAGTAAATCAGAGTCAAAATAAATGATATACAACTATACACATCAACATGGATGAAGTTTAGAAATAATCGTCCAAAAAAGAAGCACGTCGCAGAAGAATACGTGCAGCCCGAGTCCACTAATCTCCATGGCTGCCGTGTGCAACGTGTTTCCACGTGTAACGTGCACCCACGTTTTTGGCCCAAACTTTCAGGAAAAAATTTTTTGTTTTAATTTTTTAAATTCAAATTTTTATTTGTTTACATTTAGGTACTTGTTTTTTGTATTATAAAGGAACTGTAGCATTTATTCTTATCAGTTAGATTGCTAGCTCCCACCTAAAGCATATGAGGAGAAATGTGTTGCTCTTTATTGGCTGAAAATGCTTTCATTGCAATTTCATCATAAGTTCAAAAAAACTGATTACTATATTCCAGGTATTATTTTGCATACAGATACCATTATCACCTTCTAGAGTTATAACATATAAGAATAAACAAAAGAATGGAAAACATTTATATAAATATGAAATTAACATACCCATCTATAATGCACATCCTTATTTTTCCCTCAAAAGTTTGGGCCAAAAAGTGTACATTATACATACACACGGCAAAATACACTATAAAGTTTTAAAATAGGCAAGCTTAACATGTTATTTAAGAGTAAAGACAAATGTGATGAAAACAAACAAAATACAAAGAAATAATTCACATAAAATTTAGGGTGGTGATTATTTTTGAGCAGAAAAGGGAAAACAATCAGGGCAGAGTCCATTGGGCTTTTTCTAGACTATGGTAAAATCATTCTTTAACGTAGGTGATGGGTACATGAGAGTTTGTTCCTTAATCTGTGCCTTTGAACATATGTTCATTCTACTTTACATTAAAAGGGCAAAAAAAAAAAAACTGCAAGAAAACAAAACATTCTAGAGTATTACCAATTATGAGATATCTTCATGAATGTCAAGCAACTTCATATAACAAAAGAAAGAATAAGAGAATTTACAACATTCTGGGATATGACAAAGAAATGCAGTTTATGACAATTATTATGGGACCCTTAACTTGATCACAGTAAAACTGTGAAGTGGGAGAATTCCTCCTTTCTGCCCTCTTATTTTTCTTTTCTTTATGACTTCATAAATATAAAAGGTCTTATATACAGACTTCATCTATATAAAAGGTCACCTATTGTCTTATTCTGGTTTGTGCTGTTACCAAAAAAAAAAAAACAAAAAAAAAACTCTGAGCCTGGGCAAATTCTAAAGAGAAATGTTTTTCCTCACAGTTCTGGAGGCTGGGAAGTCCCAGATCAAGGTGCCACTAACTGGTGAGGGCAGAAGAGCAAGAGAGCACAAACTACCTCCATCAAGCCCCCTCTTCAGAGCACCTACTTCGGTTCAGGAGGAGGAGCCCTTATGGCCATCTCCTAAAAGCCCCACCTCTTAATACTATCACACTGGCAACATCTGAAGTTTGGAAGGGGCACATTCAAACCACAGCCTGTATCTTCGCCTCAGCTGACTGTCAAAGACTTTTCAGGAAGTTTTTAATAAATAGAGGCTTATACCATTCTCTGTTTGAAAGAAAGGTTCATTATTTAATGATTGTATCTAGAGTTTGTAATTTACTAATAAAGACAGAGACAAAGGTCAATAGGTTATTCTATGGACTGAAAAAACTAAGTATGCACAGAAAATACAGAAAATCAGAAGAGCCTTTCCTGGGAAAGCAATGACTGATCTGAAACTTGAAAAACATATGTGTCTATTGGTAGAAAGAGAAAAGTGAATTCCTCTAGAGGAAAGAGCACGTGCAAAGATGTGTAAGTGTGAGAGAGCATGGGGTGTTCAATCTGGAAGAATGTGAGTATTTGGCTCGAGGTCTTCAACATAAGGCTGGGGGGTAGGACACAATTCAGCCTCTACCTTATGTTATACTTCATTAAAAACTATGATAGGAGTGAAGGCAACAAAGTAGAAAAGGATGCTTTAATAAAAATGGATTAAAGTTTTCTAATCGAAATATGTAAGGAATTGACACAGATTTATAAGACCAATACTCTGACTCCATTGACAAGTGAAAGGTATACAATACTGATATTAAGCCAATACAAACTAAAATGTCAATATGTAAAGAAGTGAAAATAAACACTAATCTCAGATGCCAATTTTCACACGCTAAATGTACAAGTGTAACACAACAGACAAGAGGATTACAAACAACTCAAATACCTAGTAGTGGGAATAAGAAGACTAGAAACATAAAGGATATTTTAAAAATACATAAGCTATGAAGATACAAGGTAATATTTAGGTAAACAAGATTGATTTAAAGACTGGTGATAAGCTGAGTGATACACATGAGCCCGTGTGTGTGTGTGTGTGTATGGGGGGGGTGTAAATCTCTTCCTGTCATTATTCACTGTACTCTTGTAAAAATACCTGCAGTTTCTGAAAATGGGCACCCTCTCAGGCCTCCTGCTCAGAAAACCTTTTCCCCAACAACTTCTAGTAAAAAATTCCAACCAAGTCTCCCTTTCAGACTAATTTGAACAGCTATGTTTGAGCCCATGAGCCAGGGTTACAGACTTCTCTGCACCGCCAACCATTTTGTACAACCCTTTATCGTAACTTCTACAGTAATTGTTCATCTACATCTTGCTTTCTCCCACTAAACTGTGAGCTCTTTGAGGGCAGAGACTATTTTTCATATTTGTGTCCTAGGAGTCTAGAATTACAATAATAAAAGTTGGATAAATAAACTGTAATGAACGATAAACACTAAATGAAGGGCTTGAAGAATGTAGATTTTGTTCCTGTCACATCACATACAAAACATTATATTTTAAAGTAAAAATATAATAATCTTTTCTCCTTTTCAGGAAAATGTTTCTTCGGGTTGGTCAGCAGCTTGTGAGTGACTGTTGTTACCTGTCATCAGACTACAAGCTGACTTTCCTAAAGTCACAGCAAAAGTATGTCACTTGCAACATGTGGCGACATCTGTCCTTTAAATGATATGCTGACATTCGCTCTCAAAACAGTTTATTCACCAATCTAACCCAGTCCTAAGCTTTAATGAGAAATATATACCAAGAGGCTGGAGAGTAAGATTAGCAAAAGTAGACCTTGTTCTTTTCTCTTAGTGACCCTGGATACAGACAGGAGACACCCCCCACAACTGTGACTGGCTTGCAAATCACCTGCCAGATTATAATTTGGAAGGGAAGAGTGACTCCCTGCATGGGGGGCTGAGAAGGGAAAATGAAAAATCAGAATGCTGCATTGGGGCTTTGAGACTTTCAAGAAATAAACCCCTTACAAGTAAACATCCTTCAACACCAGCAGCTGCTGCTGGGAGGAGGGAAGTCCACGCTGTGAGAAACTCAGCCAGACCTGGAGGTTTCCTTATGAGAGAAACTTGCCCCTGGCAAGTAAAAAGCCTCTGAGCTTCGCTGTGACACCCGGTCACACTCCACACTTAGTCAAAAGGAACACACCGATCCCATAAGCACAAACATGGAAGGTAGGCAGGCAGCACGCGAGAAAACTCCAGTCCTGCTCCCTGAGGCTCCTCAGACACAGACTGGAATTTTCCCAGACACAAGGAGTTAAACCCTCCTCCAAAGCGGAACTGGGAACTCCGCGGGTTGCGACATTTGCCCCTTCCCAGCGCCCTGGGAATGCCTGGGGCTCAGCCTCTCTGGGTTTCCGTTTCTCCTAAAAGCCCGGTCTGGCCAGAAACGCCGCCCGGATGGCACGGTCTCCTCCTCCCCCTCCTCCCCGGCACACTGTGCTTTCCCCCCGGGTCTGCGGGGCAGGCGCCAAACATGGCCCCGACCCGGGGCTGCTCGCGCCAGGCCGCCTCTGCACGGAGCGCCCCCCCGCGGCCGCCCGGAGCCCCGCTCCAGGCCGCCTCTGCACGGAGCGCCCCCCCGCGGCCGCCCGAAGCTCCGCACCCTCGCTGCGCCCGGACGGCCCAGGATCGGCCCCTGCCTCGAGGGCCGCCTAACTGCCCTGGCACCGCTTTCTCTCGGTCGGAGAGCTTTCGTCGCAGTTACCCAGCCAGGGTCCCTCCTGACCTCAGCACCCAGGCCCTCTGGGACCTCCGCTCGCTGCGCCCCACCCAGGTCTCGAGTGGAATCTGGGAAACTGGCGAGCTTGGGCGGCCTCCGCCCTCCGGGACACAGCCTTCTGCAACGGGCGGCCGTGGACGGACGGGAGAGGCCCCCAGGGCACCGCCACTACCTTTCCCTCCGAAGTGCTGCTCCTTCCCTCTGGCAGGGTCAGCAGGGACAGCAAGGACCCCCAGCAGCAACACGGACTGGGCCGCAGTGTCGTCGCCCTAACCTCCTCACGATGGAAGGTTCTGGAAGCCTGGGGGCCGGGCATGCGCAGTGCGCACCTCAGCCTTGGAGCCCGCGGCACTTCCGCCAGGCTGGGGGCACACGGATGCCTCCTGCCGGAGCCCGCCGCATGCGCCCTCGCGGGCCCGCCATCCAGTGGCAGAGGCCGGCCACGGGGACACGCGCTCCGGGAGGCGCAGCACGTGCGGCCATGGCCCCCTTCCTCGGTGCTCAGGAAAGCCTTCCCTGGAGAAAGGATGCTTCCCTGAATAGAAGGGGAATAACTAGGAAGGGGAGCAGCCGGGCCAGGCGGGGAAATGGCTTGACCAAACCCCACAGTGGGAAGGAACATTTGAGTCCCTTTGAGGAACTGGGACACCATGAGGGGCAGGGAGCAGGGAGCTGTGCAAGAAGAGGCTGGGAAGAGGACGAGGGAGACCGTGCTGGGCCTTAGCTTTTGTCCTAAGGAGTTTCCATCCTCCTCTCTTTGCTGGAAAGAATTGCCAGTAGATTTGTGATGCTTTGCGGTTGACAATGTATTGTTGCCATTACAGACATCCCAGGGTTACGAAGGAGGTAGGTTCTACAGCATTCTTATTAAGCTGAATTTTTTGTAAGCTGGAACAGGTACATTAAACTATTCCCTGTAGTGGCCTCAATTCATAAGTGTGAGCCACAGGTCACACTTGGAATGTAACTCTGGGACTGCCTATAATCTTAAAATGTTAGAGGTGCTTAGTGATTCTATATTGTGAGCAGCTGAGACATGAGGAGGGAAGAAAGAATAAAATAGGCTGAATTGGGGACAACCAGGAATTAAGACTAGGAGAAATGAATCAGGGAACAGCTGCTATGTTAACTTGTGAGGTGGCTACTAGTTTTCTCAGGGAGGGAGCTGAAGCTCACAGAAATTAAGCATTTTGCACACAGTTACTAAGTAGCAAAGCTGGACCGACCTAAGCCACTGTATGCATGGTCAGGTCACAGTCATTACCCAAATTAAAGAAAAGTAAATAAATAAGCTGTATCAAAGGCCATCCATATTCTCTCTCCATGAAGAATTCTGTCGTGCTCTATTTAACCATTAATAATGCATATAGGGGCAGTGCCTGTGGCTCAAAGGGGTAGGGCACTGGCCTCATATGCTGGAGGTGCCGGGTTCAAACCCAACCCTGGCCAAACATTGCAAAAAAATAAAGATAAAAAAATAATAATGCATATGGAAACCAGTCAAATATGCACCACGTGACATAAAGTGCTAATATCTGTTCTCCCTGTATGCTATGACAGCATGCATGCTCATTGGAGGGTCTTTGAGGGATGGGGTATTGCTTTCCAGGGAAACAAAAATTGGTTCTTGAAGGACAAAAAAAAAAAAAGTCTTAGAAATTACAATGATTAGTGGCCCTCTGAAGTTCAATGCTATCCAACAGTCTTATATCCTTGCATTTAATCTCTCTCCTTAGGGAGAAACTTAATTTAGATGTCAGGTAATGTTTTGCAGGGTAGTAGAGGGAGTCCATGAGAAATATTGTTTTATAGTAATGGATTCTCCAGGCTTTAGCTAGTCAACTAGAATGAAAATCACAATTCTTGCAAGTAGGGCTATTCCCTGTCGATGGCTAATTAATGTGTTTTGCTCTGTAAACTCTTATCTTGCTCCTGCACTATAAACCTATCTTTCTCTTCCTCAGTAAACTTTGTTGCATTGCCAAAAAAAAAAAAAAAAAAAAAAGTCACACTTCTTAACTTCTCAACCTCTGCAGCTAGGTGTAGCCATGTGAATAAAATCTGTCCCAGGGGTGATGGAAAATGATGGGTGCAACTTCTAGGATGGGTGTAAAAAAGAGACCCAGGCCCTTTTTATGCCTTCTCACCAGGAACTGGTGATGGTGGCAAGTCACTTTTGTCCGTGGGCATGAGGACAACAGTCTAGACAGTACAGACGTGGTAGTAAAACAAGATGGGAGGAGCCTGGGAGACCTCATGGGAAAGAGCTACCACACAAGTCCTGGTCCACTCACCTCTGACGGAGAAAAGTAAGTGGCTGTTAACAGTTTGCACTGTTAGGCAATTTGTGTCTCTTACATTTGGCTGAATCTTATTCTAACTAATTAACTATTTAAATCCAAAAACAAACGGTGGCACCAGTGACACAAGATGAGTATACTACTAGTATACTGGAAAGGGTCTGGTCCCTGAAGAAACTAAGGTGCTTTAAGTTGTCAGATGGGCAATACATGTGTAAGATAAACCTGACCATATACAGAAGGAATGCCAGAAATAGTCAGGGAATTTGAAAAGTGTATTACTTGCCTGCTCTTTAATATGTCCATCTGGAAACCACATTGCCACCTTTCTTATATAACAGTGTGTTCCTTATGTAACTGTTCTTCACCCAGGTGAGCAGCTGTAGTGTGGGAGGTTTCACATCCCTTACTATAAACTACCCATTTATGTGAAATGGAAGTAAAACATGCAGAAATTCCCTTGGATTTGAAAGTAGGGTTTCCCCCAGTACAGCCAAGTTCACTGTCAGTGTAGCAAAATCAGCTAAGGATGCCAGCCAATCAGAGTTTAGGAGGGAAATGGATTTCCTATATAAATATGATTCCCAAAATCATGTTCTCTAAAGAATTTCTCAGTCTTGAAATCCAACACAGGCGTGACCTAGTAGAACTCCATTCTACCATGATGAAGAAGAGTGGCGTTCCTTTCCTCTCCAGCATCATCATCCTCGCTCTGTTTGGAGTTCAAGGTAAGGGACTCTGAGTTATATTAGGTTATGAAGTCAGAGAAGGGAATCACTTGCTAGCTCATTCAGCAGTCAAAAAAGCTTCTTGGTGATATTGATGTTTATAACTTGGGTCTGCCAAGTCAAGCACAATCTTTGTAGTCTAGGTATGTGAATTCCTAGTAAGAGTTCAGTACATGTTTGTTTAACTGCAGGATTATGAGCTGAAACATTCTGTCTCCTAATTTATTTTCTTCTCCCTGATACTGTTTCTTGATAAGTGTCTTTGTAATTAATCCATTAAGGATTCAGCCCCCAAACAGAGAGGTTGTCCCTAATTTGTTTACTAACTACCTTGTTACCTTGGGCAAATTACTTAACCTTTATAGCTCTCAATTCCTCACCTGCAGAATGGAAACTCTGTGCTTATGTATTTCTACCTCCTACACTGTGTATGTAAGTGCTGTGTAAATATATGTTGAGTGAATCTAAAAATGAAGGTTTAAAGTTAACGTTTTAAAGAGTTTTCAAAACTTTAGCTTGCTATTGAGAAGCAATGCAGTGAAAAGGAGGGAGAATGAGGCTGGAAGTGGTAATTGATTATTAAAGTAGTGCTTTCTGTCTAACAGCAAACCAATTCTATCCCTAAAGTCGGATAATGAATAGCTTTGGGAGCTGCTGAAGAAACTGTCCAGCATAGCCAGGTTAATTATCTGTTTGACCTGTGACAAGCCTTTATTAAATATTGTGAAAATCCCTTTTTCTCCTAGGTCGTAAGATATGATAATTAAGAGGAACACCTTTGGACTCAACAGACCTGAGCTGAAACCCTCCCCTACCCCCTAAAAGCTGTATGACTTTGTTCTTTGTGTATCTGAACTTTACCTTCCTTATCTGTCCAATGGAGATAATACCTTCTTCAAAAGTTTGTGGTGATGATTTACAAACATTCACTAAGTGATAGCAATAACCGTGACTGATTCAAATGTGTCGTTTTGCTGGAGCACCTGCACGGAGACGTTGTCCTACACTGATGCGCTCTCTTTTTCTTTCCCTTAGGAACCCCAGTCATGAGGCACGGACGCTGTTCCTGCATCAACCCTGGCCAAGGGACCATCCATTGGCAGTCCTTGAAGGAACTTAAACAGATTGCCCCTAGCCCCTCCTGCGGGAAAACTGAAATCATGTAAGTAAAAATCCATCTAACACACACACTCCATATTGGCGGGGATGTTAGATTGGCACGGACCTTCCCCTTAGAGTGCTTGCCCATATGGATACTTAAAATTCAGTTAGAGACCCCGGGATAAAGTTGGGCTGCTCCTTTTCTTTTCTTCTCTAGAAAAACAAGGAATTTCTGGTAGATTAGGAACCAAGAATGATATATTATCAAGCATAATACCATGTTTGTTTCAGAAAATGTTTAATGTAGATAACGCGAAAGAAGAAAATAAAAATTGTTTATAATCCTGTCGTTCAATGACGAATACCGTTAATTCTTTGGCATACAGTCTCCCAAGTCCCCTCATTTGTTGTGCATGCACATATACATGTGTAGATACAAAATGTATAAATGCGCTCGGTGCCTGTGGCTCAAGCAGTTAAGGCACCAGCCACATACACCTGAGCTGGCAGGTTCGAGTCCAGCCCAGGCCCACCCAACAGCAGTGCTGGCTGCAACCAAAAAATAGCTAGGCGTTGTGGCGGGCGCCTGCAATCCCAGCTACTTGGGAGGCAGAGGCAGGAGAATCACTTGAGCCCAGGAGTTGGAGGTTGCTGTGAGCTGTGATGCCACTGCACTCTATTCAGGGTGACAGCTTGAGGCTCTGTCTAAAAATATGTATATATTTATATATGTGTGTGTATGTGTATTTATATAATATATATATGTATATTTATATCCATAATATATATATACACAAATAAAATAACGTACCAAAACTGTTTTAAACTCTGCCTTTTCTTTAACACTGTATCATGAACATTTGGTCATGTCAGTAAATCTCTAGTAATGTAATTTTTTCCTAATATCACTTTTAATGGCCAAATTATATTCCATCATATAAATGTGCCATAATTTACATGACCAATGCTTATTATTGGGAATGTAGGTTCTTTCCAAATTTTGCTATTGAAATCAAACTGTTACTGTGACAGTGTTTCATCTTTAATCCTTTCCTGTTAATAACTTTCTAGAGATTAGAACTGCTAGGTCAGAGGATACGTCTACTTTAAGTCTTTCGATACCTAAATCAGAGATGATTTATAGAATGGCATTCCTACTCTCAGACTATACAGAGAAATTATGAAAAAAAAAATTTAAAGTGCCCCTGGAGGGTCTGCTAGAAGTAATTTCAAAAATTCAATCAGTCTGTTTATCTTGTCCTAAGAAAACATTTCATTATAAGTAGTTTATTTAGGAAAAAAGTCAGCAAATTTCATACTGATTTTCATTATTCTGGAAAAAGGCATTTAAATTATACACAGGGGAATAACATCATGTTTCTCTTTCCTTGGCAGTGCTGCAATGAAGAATGGAGATCAATTATGTCTGGACCCAGATTCAGCAGCTGTGAAGAAATTAGTGAAAGAGTGGGAGAAACAGGTGGGTTGGTGAAAAGGAAGAACATAGCACATACGGGAATTTAAAAAAAAAAAAAGAAAAGGAGGCCCAGAAATTTCTTTCTTTTAGAAATTAACTTTGGAAGATAAGACTCTGTGTAGTTCTTTTAAAGATACATTTTTCATTCGTGTTATTGTACTTCTATTTTGTTCTTTGAACAAAGTTATATTCCTGCATATAGTATCCCTTGTGTGTCCCCACTAGAACGTGTGTTCTGTGAGGACAGGGAGCTAGTCTTCCTTATTCAATAGGATGAGTATGTAACAAATTGAATGGTACATGGAGGAGCAAAGGTAATGAGGTACTACAGTCCCTTCCTTCTGTAGAAAATACGCCAATAATTAATAATGAAACAATGTAACAAATACAGAGGTCCGTACAAGAATCTTGGAGATTACAGAGGAAGGACGGGGGAGGGAGGAAGTGTTAAGGAAGATTCTCATATCAGGTAATATTTGATTCGTGTCTTGAAGGATAAGTAATTGGCCAGGAAGGACCAAGAGTAGGATGTGAGAGTCGTGTCTTGAAGGATAATTGGTCAGGAAGGACCAAGGGTAGGATGTGAGAGTCGTGTCTTGAAGGATAATTGGTCAGGAAGGACCAAGGGTAGGATGTGAGAGAGCTTGCTTGTACTCAGGGGGCCCTCAGTACTGTGGCTGGAGGGTGTATAAAGAGAAGGGAGGGGCTGCATGAAGGCAGACAAGTAGACCACAAGCCCGTGGGAAGAATCCTGCACGATGCGCGAAGTAAGGAGTTGGGTTTGAAGAAAACCACAGAATATTTGGTCAGGAGATTGAGGACTGGGTTCTGGAGTCTGACAGATAGTGGTTCTGCCATATACTAGATGTCCACCTTTGGGCAGGTCACCTTGTCCAAGCCTTGGCCTCCTCATATGTAAAAAGTATCAATAGATGATAATAACAGCAACCTCATAGGGTTTGGGGGGGGGGCAGGCGGGTGGTAAGCAAGGTCGGGAGGAGAGTAGACAAGAGATGGCCAGTTGGGAGGTTTTGCCTCCTGCTCACAGTGCACAAAGTAGAGAGTCTAACAGATCTCCTCTGAGCGAGAAACAGCTTTCAACTGGTTTTGAAGAGAAAGAAATACCACGTTTAAGAGAGTCCAAATATAGCCAGGGGTGGTAGCTCAGGCCTTATAATCGTAGCACTCAGGAGGCTAAGGCTGGTGAATTGCTTAAGCTCAGGAGTTGCAGATCAGTCTGAGCCAAGAGTAAGACCCTATCTCTGCTAAAAATAGAAAAACTATCCGGGCATTGTGGCAGATGCTTGTGATTCCAGCTACTCTTGAGCCCAAGAGTTTGAGGTTGCTGTGAGCTATGACACTAGAGGACTCTACCCAGAATGACCGAATGTGACTGAATCCATCTCAAAAAAAAGACAAATTATTTTTTATTTATTTTTTTGAGACAGTCTCAAATGTCGTCCTGGGTAGTGCCCTGGCATCACAGTTCACAGCAACCTCAAACTCTTGGGCTTAAGTGATGCTGTTGTCTCAGCCTCGCAAGTAGCTGGGACCACAGGTGCCGGCCACAATGCCTGGCTATTTTTTGGTTGTCGTTGTCATTGTTCTTTAGCGGGCTGGGGTTAGATTAGAATCTACCAGCTCCCGTGTATGTGGCTGGTGCCCTAGCCATTTGAGCTACAGGCCCCAAGCCAATAAAGGGAAATACAAATGGTAAGATTTAGAAACGCTGCCCTTTTTTCCTTCCCACTCCTTACAGATCAGCCAAAAGAAAAAGCAAAAGAAAGGGAAAAAATATCAAAAAACCAAGAAAATTCTGAGAGTTAAAAAATCTCAACGTCCTCGTCAAAAGAAGACTACATAAGAGACCACTTTACCAACAAGTATTTTGTATTACAAATGTTTCATTGTAATGATACTGAAATAATTTCAAAAGAGGATGGCATCTAATACAAAGGCTTGTTAATTTGATTAGAAAATTAAAATATTATTTTGAAATTGTAACTAAAGCTAGAAAGTCGATTTTAAAAATCTAAATGTTAAGAATTGCTGTCTTTGGTCTCTATCCGCAACCAGCTGAGTTTCATCATGCTTAAGATAACAATCTTAGTAAAACCCCTGTCTGGACAGATGCCCACACTACCGCATCCTACACACAGCAGCCGTCTGGGAAAGCTTCCTGGGCCCCCAAACTGTGGCCTCCAGAGAGTATTCTGAGGCATGAGTCTGCAAGCACCACGCCTGTTAGCACGCTGGGAGCCAAGCAGTTTGAAGTGAACTGGACTTCACCAAGCTGCCAGTGGCCAGAGTCTGCATTTGAATCTGCCCACAGCCCTCACATACGATGTCCAGATGTCCAGAAGATCCAAGCTGGCTGTGTCTGGGTATTACCACTGGAGACCACCATTTGTCCGGCTTTCAGAGCCTCCTTCTTAGCATTTGAAGGCGTGTGGCTGCATCTTGCCTGCCCAGGCTGCCCACTGTACTTGTTACTGTTGCCCTTTGCTTCCTTCGAGCCCGCTCTCCTCCCGCCCACTCAGGGTCC